GCGGCTACCTACTGCTCACTCCTGGTCGCCTGGTGCAATTCCCAGAATTTTGTGAAATGAAAAATGCGGCGTGCCGGCTACTACAGTTTGGCTGCCACTGTAGCAGGTGGGTGGGAACTTGGCTATGTGTCTAGGCTAAATGGTGTGTTGTGGTGGGTGGTGCGTGGGCTATGTTGTGGAATGTGACTGAGGTTTGTGACTTTGCTGGTGTGTATATGGACTAAAAACAGGGTGTTCTGTTATTAGGTGTGTGACATAGCTTAACTTCCTTTTAATCATAGAAACAGAAAAACACATGTTTTTATGGTTTTTTTTTTAGAATTTTCTCATTTATTTCATATTTGCTCATTTACATGTAAATCACTTCAGTTTATTATTCTTTTTTAATATTTTGCAATTGCGTTAATTTGCATAAATTCTGAAATTCTGATACTTCACCACTTCATAAATATATGCGCTAATATTACATATCTAAGTGTGTGTGTGTATTATTAGGTATGTATGTATGTATGTATGTGTTTTATAGCTAACTGACACTTGCGAGTTGAGTGCTTTGCTGGTCCTTTCTGTTTGAGTGACCTTCGAATTTGCCTAACATTTGTAAATTTCATTACGTCTTTATGATTATGTCATTCTGTTTAGTTTTATAATAATTGAATTAATAATAAAAATAAAAATAATTGTTATTAGAAATAAAATTAAATACAAAAAAATCATACATTGAATTTTTCCAAAGCAATCGTAAACCAAAAAATTATTTTACAACTTTTCTGCGCTTTTCTCGCAATTTTAGTAAAACCTTTCCATATACAAAGTAGATATGTATGTATGTATGTGTGTTTACAGAAGTGCAATACTATATAATAACTGTAATTTTATATTAAGCAAATATTTTGTTAACTTAAAAATAAAATAGGTTTATCTTAAAACGAGATTTTTTTTATAAAATTCATAAAAAATATTTGCCACAACTTGACATGCAAAATATTTTCTTACAAAATCTAGGGCTTAAAGTAGGTTGTTTAGTTGCTAAAAATTTTATTTACAAAATGTGAGTCATAAATTTTAAATATTTATAAAAACTAATAAGCAATAGTTAAAAGCGAAATAAAGTTGTTGAAGTTGCGAAGTTACTGGCGCACAAGCTTCAACTTTTTTGACATTTTCACAATTCTTTTTTGTAATTTTCGAAATAACTTTTTTCTACAATTTTTTTAGGATTTCATACATACTTACGACTGTGCCTTAGCGCTTTTTTTGCAAACCATTTTAGCAACTTATATAATAATAAAATATTTACAAAAATAATATAAGGTGTGTAGTGGCAGCGACAAACGGTGGTGCAAAAATTAAGTAGATAGCAAAAGTAGACACGGGAAATCGGGTTTGAAGCTTTCGAAAGCTCTTCAACGTGTGCGAAAGCTGCTCAAAACTCAGAAGTCGCAGCATTAAAGTGTATAGTTAAGCGGGAAAGCTCTGAAATTTCTGGCAAAATGTGAAAGAACATATTAAAAATGAAAGCTTTCGAAAGCTCAAAAAATGGAAAGAAAAGTTGGTCACCGGAAATTGGTTTAGAAGTTTTAAAAGCTCTTCAGCTGTTGCTAAAGCTTCGGCAATGTCGGAGTTCTTATTGAAAAACATAGTTAATTGTGAAAGCACTAAAAAAAATCAAAGTACACAGTTACAAGTTTCATCACTTAATTTCGCACCATCGCACCATCGCAAATTAATATGGTTTGTCCTCGGTTCTTTTAGGTTTCTTATAGAGCTGCATATGTGCCTAGAGCAACGCCAGGCCTACTTATGAATATTACAATAGAAAATACATTTGCTTGCAGCTTTTTAAAAATATAAAAAAAAAATAATAATAAAATAGTGTTACCGTTACATATTTACATGTGAGTGTGTGTGTGTTTTTTCTTACTCCTAATGCTCATTAGTTATACTAGTTGTCTTAAGTTTGTAATTAACGTATTCACATCAAGTACCGTTAAGTACTAGTTACACATACACATTCACGTGTGTGTGAATTCTTCTACGATTTCTGCGTCCCAATTTTTACGATTTCTGCTTACATCTTTAATTATACAATTAACATATTGTTTTTTACTCGGTAGAAACTTAAATTTAATGATATTTCTCGCTTTGCTCGTTTTCTCACCAACATTGCTCAATAAGTTGCTTGTAAACTTTGCTTGATTGGCAGAGTTGCCAATTATAATTTTCTAATAGCCACTATGGAATTTTCGCTAATTTGTGTGAAAATTTTACAGTTTTTTCACATTTTCCTTTTATGCAGTTTTTGCTACTTTTGTCGCAGTTTCGGCTTACAGTTATGATTTAAGTGAGTTCACATTTTAAATTTACTTTTTTACACATACATATACATATATAAATCGCTTTAATCGTCTTTACAACGCCATCAGTCTTTAACTTAGGGATTAAATTGTGTACTTGCTTAAAACTAATTATTTTTTTATTTATTTATTTAGAGAAATTGAAAAATGCTTTTAGAGGTGATTTTAGGTTTGGAAATATTGTTTTTTTTTCGAAATTTTCAAGTTACCTAAGGAAAATTAGTAACGCTTTTAAGAAAATATTTAAAAAATGAAAAAGGAAAAAT